CCTGATGTCTGCACCACAAAGAACACACAGCAGGAGAGAGGAACTTTATCTCAGAGTACATATCAAAAGAATATATTTCAAAGATTTTCTGGACTGCAAGAAGAAGGGGAAAGAATTTCTTTACTTATCCATCACTGAGGGAACAAATAGGTCAGCGCTCTATGCATCCATGACTAGTGGAGCCCCAGCTATGTGGGTTGGTGGTACTGAGCATGAGAAACAGCTGTAGGTGAGAAAAACTGCTTTAGACAAAGACTGGAGCCTGCCAAGGTTATATGCAGTAACTCAGAAGCATGTTATACTTTCGTTTTATTTGTAACCATTTTTGTTTCTATTATCTTTGCTTAGTATCACTTAAATCTCTGTTCTTTATTAACAAACATATTCTTGGTTTTAGTATAAATTCATCTCAGTGATGTAATATTAAAGTAAACCGTGCACCCTCAGCTTAGCTAAGAGGCTGGTGTGTGTACTGTCTTTGGAGTCAACAGACTTGGTAATATCTATGAGTATCCAGTGACAGGGATTGGATGCTGTAGAGGAACCCTCTTCATGGTTTTTATCAAAGGTTGGCGTGCACCTAGGGTGACCAGATGTCCCAATTTTATAGGGCCAGTCCCAATTTTGGAGGCTTTTTCTTACATAGGCACCTATAACCCCCCCACCCCCACCCCAATTTTTTACACTTGCTATCTGGTCACCCTAGGTGCACTTACTGTTAACCTGCAAGGCAAGGATAGGACTGGCAGAGTCCTGAGGAGAGTGCTGGAAAGACTGGTGTTGCACTGGAGCTGATGCCCAGTTATCAAACATAGACTCCCTCACACTGGAGGCAAGGGAGGTAAGTAACAAGGTCATCCACAGTCCTGGGCACTCCTCAAAGGTGTCATAGTTACAAAGCATTAATAAATGTTATGAAACTTATGAATGAAAAGTCTGAAAACACAAAACGTAAAATGCAACCAGAACATTTATCTAACCAGTGAGTGAAAGAAAGTGTAAGCTATCTTAGAAGTAAACTTCAATTTTACACTTATATATTGACTTTACAACCTACATTTTGGTACTGGATGAAACCAAACAGATGTAATAACTATGTATGTGTTTTAAAAAGCCTTTTTTGCATTTGTTATAAGTGTCGTTTAAAGGTTATGGTATTGCTTGATTTTACATTGCTAGGTTGTTTTTGTAAAGAAGGTTATGAAATACTTCCAGCCTACAAATTTGATACCTGGCTGTAAGATATTTTATCACACACAAAATATACTGGTTTTGCATATCGTAGCCCAAAATAGTAACGCTTTACTAACATTCAGGTACCTGTAATTAATACAAAAATCACATTTAAAAGTATCACAGCTATCTATGCTTCCAACAAATTTGCTAATCTTAATCCTCTTTCAAACGTTAACCACTTTCACCATCATTACTCAAGGTTATAAGAAAGTTATTTACTGGCTTAGACAAAGGAAAAACAGTTTTATAAAGAGTAAGAAAGGTAAATAATAGAATGAATTTGCACATATTACATCTGCATATAGCATGTACCTTTGCTTCATAACACAGTAATTGCATATTTTCTCTCTTGTGGGCACTTCTGCTAAACAGTCACAAAAAAGGACAGCTTCAGAGAATACAATAATCTAGTATGCTAAGTACACCTCTACCCCGATATAACGCGACCCGATATAACACGAATTCGGATATAACGTGGTAAAGCAGCGCTCCGGGGGGGGGAGGGAAGGGGGCTGCGCACTCCGGCGGATCAAAACACGTTCACTATAACGCGGTTTCACCAATAACGCGGTAAAAATTTTTGGCTCCCGAGGACAGCGTTATATCAGGGTAGAGGTGTACAAAGGGAAGACTCTGGAAATGTATGGATTGACATCCTGGCCCGATTGAAGTCAATGGCAAAATAACCAGTGGATTAATCTTGGCTGTGTCACTGATCCTCTCTGCAGCCTTCATTGAATCACTTAAACCTTCTGCCTTACATTTTTTATAAGATGAAGATAACTGTACCTCCCACAAGGAGATAGACGATCCTCCCTTTATCTAAAATCCATTCCCCCTGGCCTCCACTGCCTCCCTTAGCGCGCCCCCCATCCATTCTCCCCATCACCTCTGGCCCCCACTGCCTCCCTACCCACTTCCCCATCCAGGGATAATTTGTCCCTGGGCTTGCCAGGGATGACTATATCTGTTGTTGTGAAAAGTCATATTTGTATGTTTAATCACTTTTCACAGCAGCAGACTTACTTGCTAGCAAGTCTAAAAAAAAGCAACAACAACAAAAAGACAAGAATGTGCATGTGCAAAGTACCTTATTTGTGTTTCTATTCTGTTTAGGTCCAGTAAAGAATAGAAACAAGTGTACATTATTTTTATTAGAGTGCAAAAAATCCCAACATAAACAAATTGCAATGATTTGGACATGTATATGGGCATATTTATTTGTCTTTCCTAAACCTAATTAGGAATTTTAGTTAAAACTGTAAAAGTGGCCACCAGCAAGAGTTGGTGGCCGCACTCTGAGGCCACCAAAATTTTTAGACTCATAGACTCATAGACTTTAAGGTCAGAAGGGACCATTACGATCATCTAGTCTGACCTCCCGCATGATGCAGGCCACAAAAGCTGACCCACCCATCCTGGAATAATTCTCTCCCTTGACTCAGCTGTTGAAGTCCCCAAATCGTGATTTAAAGACTTCAAGTCGTAGAGAATCCTCCAGCAAGCGACCCCTTCCCCATGCTGTGGAGGAAGGCAAAAAACCTCCAGGGCCTCTGCCAATCTACCCTGGAGGAAAATTCCTTCCTGACCCCAAATATGGCGATCAGATGAAACCTGAGCATGCGGGCAAGATTCTCCAGCCAGACCCTCCGGAAAAAGTTCTCTGTAGTAACTTTTAATATCCCATCATTGACCATTATTACTAATTACCAGCAAAGGCACGTTATTGACCTATTGACTAAAATCACGTTATCCCATCAAACCATCCCCTCCATAAACTTATCAAGCTTAATCTTAAAGCCAGAGAGGTCTTTCGCCCCCACTGTTTCCCTCGGAAGGCTGTTCCAGAACTTCACCCCTCTGATGGTTAGAAACCTTCGTCTAATTTCAAGCCTAAACTTCCCGACGGCCAGTAGTTGTGAGAACCCCTGCTCTATATAGAAGGCAGATCAAACACTCCCATCTTTTGTGCCTCCGCTTCACTACATTGGCAATCATTTAATTCAAAGTAAAAAACAATTAACTTGAGATAGCTAACATGTCTGTAAGGCTAATCTAAACACTCAAAGGTTTGTTCTAGACTACAGTGGAAGTCTTGCACTATTGCTACTGTACAGTGCTCCTCCTATATTCTGTCTGTATTTTAACAAAGTTAATACAAATTGCTCTCCTCCATGCAATGTAACAGAAGAGAACAATGTTCCTTAGAGTCTAGAAAGAAAACAAATTTGAACCTAATGTTATTTAATTTAAGAAAACTCTGCTCTTTGTAATTGTGCATACTGTACTTATGTTGTGTGTGAAGTGGTATTTGGAATAACAAAAACAATTTTTAAAAGGAGAGGCAGTTAAGCCAAAACAATTGGTTCTCAACATTTTTGGATCCACAATCAACAAAATGGACCAAAAAGAATCACCCTGTAACCAATTATAATGCGGTTGTAGGATGTGGGTCATAGGAAGGCATAATAGAAAGATTTTGGATGCTGGGGCTGCGGTGGATAAGGACAGCAAGGGGAACCTGTAGGCATGAACCTTCCCCAGTCCCAAAACTTAGCATTGTCAAGGATAAGAAGGAAAAGCCAATGGCTGGAGCTTGAGGACAGGAAAGGGTAGAGGGCAAGTTCTTTCCCTGCCCTCCCCACCCCTAATTCCTGGCAACCACAGGGTATTACTGATTTTCTTCCCCTCACTGCCAATGGAAATGACCCATTTCTGAGTCATGCCCCACATGGGTTGAGAAACACTCGTTTAGAGAAATAAGAAGACTACTGAAGTGAAGTGCTCCTGAGATTTAATCCTGGCACTAACAATGTCTCACCATGCAACCTTTACTCTGTTTTCTCCTCTGTAAAACAGGGAGAATACCCACCTATCAGAGTGGGCGGTTGTGAGGATTAGTTATTTAACATATACTGTGTTCGAAGTGAGACCACTCAGAAAAGGGTTGAAGAGAAACATCCTACTGCTTCTGTGCATTACTGCAGAACTGCACGTTATTTTATGATTTGCTCTACATACCAAACACGCATCCAAGCAATTCCAAGGCCAAAAGGACCTTTCTCTCCCTCCCCCTCCCCAGTCATCATTTCAACTCCTAAAAACACACATGAAGACATTCACAATGAGACAGTGACATTCAGCTCATTTAAATACTTCATAGCTTCAAATAATGTCAGTCATATACCCAGGTGTCTGGCCCTGGAAACTGGAACTGGTCATCTAACCTATGTGCATGATGCAGTCCCCTAGGAGCAACTATGGACAGGCAGCACAAGTGTCAGCACCTTGCAGGGCTCAGACATCACCGTGCCTTCCGCCTCCCCCCAATGACCTTTGCTGTCTTTCTTTCAACTCCCTTGGCTTAACTATAGAGCTAGAAGGCGAGACTATTCTGCATTTAAACCTCCTGCAAATCCTGCGCACAGGGAGCCAGCTAAGAGCTACTGTGGCCGGCCCTTAATATTTGCCGCGGTCTCTGGGGCTGAGTGGCAGGTTACAATTTCACAAGATCTAATCGTCCATGCACGTAAAACAAACAGGCTCCCCACAGAGCCGTAGCATTTACCCCCCATGACCCCCCATTTGCAGCCCCACGTGCCAGGCAACATTCAGACCCGCATACATCCTCCCGGGGGCATGCAGGGGCCCCAGAACGCCTACAACCCCCGGGCCATGCGCACCCCCGCGCGGCGCCCCTCACCCGCCTGCTCCAGCGGGGCCATGCGGGGAAGCAGGACGGGCAGCGCGATGACCGGACTCACTTCGAAGTGGAGGACGCGGGGAAGCGGCGCTCCCGCAGCAAACGCCGGGCGGGAGGCACGTTCTCGGGGCCCGCAGCGCTCAGGGTGCCTGGGCGGGGCGGGGCGTGGGTGGCACCAGCCGGTTGGCGCTCGCTTCCCCGGCCTTCAGTCCGGCGTCTCCTGCAGGAAGGAGTCCGGCCGCCGCCGCCCTCCACCTGAGCAGCCCCAGCTCCTGCCTCCCTCTCCGCCTCGCGGCCGCAGCGCGCCTACCCGGGCCCTGAGCGGCTGGAACGGTCCGCCCACGCCGCGGCCTGAGAGGCGCAGGCAGGAGCCGGAGCTGTGCTCGCCAGCGCCCGTCCTGCCCCCCCTCTCCAGATTACTATCGAGGTCTCCCCATGCCCTTCAGTGGACGCAGGCGGGACCCCATGCTCTCAGCCACACCCCTAGGGGGTGTAAGGCAGTGCTGCCCTTGGCCCATGGGGTCCTTAAGCGCCAGGAAGCCTGAGGTCATTTTAGACACGGCAAGGGCTGGGCAGGCAGTGAGGGGGTCTTGGTGTCTTGCAGCGCTGCACATGGTCCTGTCTTAAAGGTCCGAGGGGTAGCCGTGTTAGTCTGGATCTGTAAAAAGCAACAGAGAGTCCTGGGGCACCTTTAAGACAGCATCCGACGAAGTGGGCATTCACCCACGAAAGCTTATGCTCCAATACATCTGTTAGTTGTAAAGGTGCCACAGGACTCTCTGTTGCTGGTCTTAAAGGGGCACTATGGGGTTAGAAATCACACATGCCCCCTCCTCTGCCCGTGGGCACTCCACCATGGCCCCTGGGTTGCCTTCAGAATCCACTAGCAGAGCTTCCTCCCCTCCAAAGCCACCACCTGGCCAGAGGGGTGGGCAGCCCTCAGCCAGTGCTCCCATCATAAATGGACCCAGACCCTATCAGCAGTATTTTATATTCAATGGCCTGTCCATAGGGTTGCCAACTTAGTGATTGCAGAAAACCGATCACCCTGGCTGCTCCTTCCTCGAGGCCCCGCCCCTTCTCTAAGGCTCTGCCCCCGCTCACTCCATCCCCAACCCCTCCCTGGCTTGCTCTCCCCCACCCTCACTCGCTCATTTTCATGGGGCTGGGGTAGGGGGTTGAGGTGCAAGAGGGGGTGAGGGCTCTCAGGTGGGGCCAGGGATGAGGGGTTTGGGATGCAGGAGGGGGTTGGGGATGGGGCCGAGGGATTCAGCGTGTGGGAGGGGGTTCTGGGCTGGGGCAGGCAGTTCAGGTGTGGGAGGAGATTTGGGGTGCAGGCTACAGGCAGCGCTTACATCAGGCGGCTCCCGGGAAGCAGCAACATGTCCCTCTGGCTCCTAGGAGCAGGGGCTTCCAGGGGGCTCCATGCACTCTCCCCATCTGCAGGCGCCACCTCTGCAGCTCCCATTGGCTGTGGTTCCCAGCGAATGGGAGCAGCGGAGGCAGCACCCAGTGTCTCCCTGGCCACCCCTGCACCTAGGAGCCAGAAGGACATGCCAGCCGCTTCGGGGCGCCACATGGAGCTGGCTGCTGCAGCCAACAGGACTTTTAGCAGCCTGGTCAGCTGTGCTGACCGGAGATGCCAGGGTCCCTTTTCGACCAGGCTTTCTGGTAAAAAAATGGATACCTGGCAACCCTACCTGTCCACTCAGTGATATCAATTTCTTCTGCTGGAGGGAGGGGGCAGCAAGGGTAACCTGGGAGCAGTACCACGCAGGGAACCATGTTCCTGAGGGAGTATGGCATAAATCCAGGAAGCTGTGCAGAGGCACCAGGCCTTCTCCATGTGGACCTCAAACTATCTTCTCATTCAGAGAGCCAACCGTCTGCTAGTAAACATCATCCCTTCCAGATCTAATAAAGAGGAAACTCCATGGGCCATATTTCTCACTGTCTTGCCCCTTGTATAATCATGACATCTGTCCAAAGTGGATATAAACCACTGTCAAATCAGAATTCTCTGCTCACTTAAACTAGAGATAGACCATTACACCAGTACAAGGTGAATCAGAGCCTTTGAGTCTAAAGTCAGATAGTTTGTCTAATGTAAAAGCATACATCCAATTTTGTTTGCTTTACCTATGTTAAAATCTTATGTATGTGACTAAGTGTTTGCAGGATTAAGGTCCAAATTTTATCCTTTTTTATCCACACATATACACACAAACTAAGGGGATGGGGAGCCATCACAACCTAATTTTCCCCCTTTATATTTCCCCGCTTAAGTAATTTCAAACACATTCTTCTCCTCTCCAATAAATAGTCCTAACAAACCTCTTCCAGCACGATACTATCCCCTTCTTTTGTGTTGATTATAAGGATTTTCCATTCCCCAAAGATACAAAACATATCTTTAATTTTTGACAAATAAAGGCCTGCATCCTACAATTTACACTTATTCCTATAAAGTCAATGGGGCTACTCACATGCTTAGGGTTAAGCATGCACATAAATATTTGCAGAATTGGCATCTGACTCAGATGATGAAAATGAAAGTGAGTCAATCTGCACTGCTTTATATCATTATCAAGCAGAACCAGTCAACATCATGGAAGCATGTTCTCTGGAATGGTGGTTAAAGCATGAAGGGGCATACAAATATTTAACATACCTGGCATGTGAATACCTTGCAATGCCAGCTACAACAGTGCCATGTGAACGCCTGTATTCCTTTCAGGTGACATTGTAAATAAGAAGCAGGTACCATTATCTTCCATAAATGTAAACAAGCTTGCATGTCAGAGCGATTGGCTGAACAAGAAGTAGGACCGAGTTGACTTGCAGGCTCTGAAGTTTTATATTGTCTTGTTTTTGAGTGCAGTTATATAAAAAATAATTCTACATTTGTAAGTTGCACTTTCACGAGAAAGAAATTGCACTGCAGTAGTTGTATGAGGTGAATTGAAAAATACTATTTCTTTATCTTTACACTGCAAATATTTGTAATAACAATATAAAGTGGGTTATGTACTCTGTATGCTGTGTTGTAATTGAACTCAATATATTTGAAAATGTAGAAAATATTTGAATAGATGGTATTCTATTGTTTACCAGTGCAATTAAAAGTGATTAAAAAAATCTCATGATCAATTTTAAAAATTGTTTGACAGTCCTAGAACATAGCATAGAATGTCAATCTTTAAATGTTATATAGCACATCAGTACCATGATACAGAAATTCTTCAGATCTGATCTTGCAATGTTTCTACTGACTTCCTACTACAGGTTTTTTCAGAGAGGGGAGGACTTGTGTCCATGCAGTAAGAAGGATGAACTAAGGCCTGTTGTCCCTGATCTATACACACATCACAACTGCTACTGGGGTTAAAGTTCAGTTCCACACACACATAGTCCTAAATGTTCTTGATACTTTCTGTTTAAAATAGAAACCATATGCTCCTTATGAAGCCTATTCCTATGAGATGTTGATCAATACCCTCAATGTCCATTGAAATTAATGGAAGTTGTGAATGCTCAACGCATGACGAGTTGCTGAGCTCCTTGTTGGAGCAGGCCCTTTATCTGCACTGGAACTCCCACTGATTTTAAGTGGTATATGGCCCTTAATATTACTTCAAAATATTTTGAGGCTTTTTAATACATCTTATTGATTACTATTAGTAATGGATCCTATTCAATAACAAATGTACATATTCAGAGCTCTAGTATTTGGAAGACATCAATGCATTTGAGGGGCTGACAGCCATTCCTAGCTAAACTGTTGCTTTTCCTCATATTCTGACCCCCTCCAAAACAAGGAGGTCTCCAGAACTGTTTCTGGCATTTGTGATGAATCTCAGACCCCAATAAAGGGTATGGTTTGGCTAAAAGTAGTAAGAGATTTAGCACCATGTACAATTTCTCATCTGAAATAGGCGTTTCAGGAGCCAGTTTCTTGAACACAAATTTCTTCCAGACACTGTTGGAATAAACAATGCTTTCTAGCCTCCTCCAATATATTGCCAATAGGATCTGTCTTTACACATCTTTCAGTTAAATCAGTGATCCAAATACAAGATTCATTGCTCATAATTTGGATTTTTTACAATCTCAGAAATTTGGGTTCATTGACCAATGAGTGGATTATACTCTTCTATACAAAGTGTTTCTGGTTTTCCTTTTGGTCAGATCTAGAGCTAAATTCTACTCTTCTTATTCCTGGGAGTAAGTTGAGTAGTGCTTGGTCTGTAATATAGATCTCTTAATTTATGGAGTAATTTATTATTATAGTAGTGCCAAAAGGGACAACCACGAACAGGGCCCCATTGTGCTAGGCACAGTACAAAGTAGCAGATTGTAAGCTCCTGGGGCTGGGCCAATCTAAATGGACAAGATAGTCACAAAGCGAGGAAAGGGGGTGGGAGGGATGGGGTGGCATTTACTTAGGAAGAGAGAGGCTAAATGGAAAGGAAAGGGGGGCAGGTGTGGAGTGATGCTGAAGTGAAGAAACGTGAGGGAGAAGTTTGCGGCAAACAGCCAATCAGCACAGGGCAGAGAAATCCAGTAAATAGGGTAGAAAGTTATCAATGGCCAGAACTCAGCTCCCTGTTTTGGCTGCTTTTGCTCCCACCAGCTGGAGTCTCCGGCTGGCTCCTTTCTATAGTTCCCCGACCAAGGCCACTTTTATTCCCATTCTACTCCATAGCCCATACAGCTATGATAGAGTGAACTAAATTGTGCTCTACCACATGCATCATAGACAGAATTGTTAACCATAGACATGATCCTTCCTTATTCATGAAAATAAAGGCTTGCTAAAGTGGGCCCTTAAGTTCCAATTTCATAGTCAATTCTGCCCTCAGTTATACCTAACTGAAAGAAAGAGTGCAGCTTGACTTGCAGACTCCTAAGGGGAGTTTTCAGGGCTCACATTTCTGAGAGGGAAAACATGGCTATTTTTTTACTTGGAAACATCTATGTCTTTGAGACCCCATAAAGCTAGCACCCCATGATGCCACATTTATAAAATGACTTTTCACAACAGAACTTCACTTGAACTGTTTCAGAACAACTACAACACAGCAGAATAGAAATGGTTTCCACAAAAATGACTCAATTTCATCCTATTGCTCTTAGCTATGCTCTCTTGGACTGCCCTAAACAATTCATCTCACACCTTGGAGTTTACATTGTTTATATCCTTGGTTAGATTATTATTTTCTCCGCATTATAAGGTGGTCAAGAAAATGTAGTTCTTAAGGTTTCTTCCTAAGTAAATATATTTGATTGATAATCTTTCCAATCTAACTTCTTTTTCTGAAATCCCT